ATTTAATTCAGAGGGGAATGATATTAATGTTGAATTATTGGATGATTGTTTAGTAGTTTTACTAAGTGAATAGGGAATAAATGCTGTTGATTTTGGTTGTGTGTGAGTTTTTATTTCTTCAATCAATGTCATTGTTTGATCAATTGTTGTCGCAGCATATCGTCTGGGAGAAGAAAAAAAAAGTTGCTGCTGCTGCTGATGTTGTTGTTCATAACGTCGTTGTAAATATTCTCTTGTTGGATTTGGAAGATATGAACGAACGAAATATGTATCAGAATTCATTTTCGATGTTTTGCTGTACTACAGACATACACACATCTGTTCATTGTCAAAAGTCAATGTGAAACATTTTAAGATTTTACATTTTTTGCCTTTTTTTTTTCTCCCTAACATACATCAAAACACAGAAGGAGAAAGGAAATTTGATTAAAATGAAACTGTTTGCCGTTGGAACAAATTGGAAGAGAGAATATACAAATTCCATCTATGAATGAATATTCTCAATAAGTTGTTGCTATTTTCTATCAACTCTCTCTCATTTTCTCTTTAAAAAAAATGATGATGAAAACTTACAAAAGAATTGTTTTTGCATATTCTAGAAGCCAATTTTTGTTTCTGAATGTCTACGGGGAAGTTAATGATGCTGTTTTATACTTTTTTAACAACTCGAAGGGTATTTTGTGTGTTTTTCTTCATTCTGTTTTAATTTATCTATACATATACACAGACACAAAAAAATTTTAACCTAAAGACGTGCAATTTTGTAAGAAAAAGTGCTTTTATAGTATCTTGTTTTTAAACTATAAAAAGATTTACCTTCCTAGACAAAATCCTGTGCACTTCTTATATATTTTCTGCTAGGATCCTATAGGATCGTAATATTTAAGCTTGCTGTTTTGGTTTGTTTAGGATTATAATATTTTTTTAATAATCACATTTTCTTGTTAGGATTTTAGAATTCTAACAGAATCCTAGTAATCCTACAACTTTCGAGTATCTCTGATTTCATTATGATTTTATAGAATTTTGTTGGAATTCTAGGAAACCCAAGCGAAAACTTAATAGGATATTTCTAGGATCCTGTCAAGAAATTCATAGGGTATCTTACTAGGATTCATATAGTAGACTACTTCAGCTGAAAAAAAGAAGTTTTGATTAATACTATATGTTTAAAGAGCATTGAGATCATTTTGTAAAACTACACAAGGAAAAATACAAGAATCTTGCTTATCAACAACATACTGAAAAGAAAAAAGAAGTATCTTGCTGTTACTATTATCTTATGGACTTTTCTCCCTGTTAGATGGAATTATTTTAGTTTTTTCTTAACACCTGTCACCACATACTGAGAATAGAAAATGGTTTCTGCGAAAAATATTTCAGATAGAAATTACATCTTGCGAAAAAATGGTTTCGTAAACTTGCAACTTTTTTTTGAAAAAAATATACATAGCTCTCTCTGTGAAAGCACGTTTTAACTATATGTGCAACCTCTTATGTGATAAAGAAAATCCTTTTCTGTTATTTTTAACGTTGTTCCAGATATCTTTTAAAGAAGCTTACGAAAACAAAATCCATCAACATGTATTTTGAAAGAACACTTCGCAGGGGAGGTTGAAGAAGATGTGTTATTCAGTGAGGGAAAGAATATTCGATATTTAAAGAGTTCAAAAATGTGAAACTTCCATTCTTTACAATTGAACCATTGTGTAAACTGTTTTAACGGGGCGCTAGTATTCTTTTCATAGTCGAAATATATCATTTTTATGGTTGATAATTTAGCCAGAATTGCTAATAATAACAGAACTTAATACTGACACGACTACCTGTGGTCCACCAGGACTTCAACCAGTTTGATTTTGTTGCTATACAAAGATAACACATTATCAAACTTTGTCTCTTTAGATATGCCGTAGGGACACTTAGTAGTGTACGCTGATGGCAATAGTCGATCAAATAGAATCGTTATTTATATGATTGAGTAGCTCAAAATACATGTAAACGCTTGTTGCCCATCCGGGGTCCATCTAGAGATTCATTTTAATGTTATGTATCTATAACATTAAACCGAACTTTGTCCTTTTAAATACGCCTTAGGAACACTTAGTAAAGTACGCTAGTAACATCAGTCAATCTTATTTAGTTGTCGTTGATGTGTTGGAGCAGCTCAAAATACGTGGATAAATAGATATCCAACCAATTTTTGGAAAAAGTTTTCTTTCGACTTTTTTCGTGCTAGCTAGATGGGAAGTGGTCAGAAAATGGCCTTGACCGAGATATGAATGTTTCAAAACACAGTATTTGTATAAAATTATAAAAATATGGATATGGGAAATCCCTGTATTTTAAAACATTCATATCTCGGTCAAAGCTCAATAAAAAAACGAATCCTTTTGGAGGTTGTGTTAATCTAGTGGTTCCCTACTAATGGGGAAAATACAAGCTCAAATGCTTGTAATCACTTGCGCGCCTTCTTTAGATGTTCCTAGAAAACGATCAGAATATCCACCATTTTAGGTGAAAATCGGCAAACCTTTTCAGCCAAAGCTATTTTCTGACCACTTCCCATCTAGCTAGCACGAAAAAAGTCGAAAGAAAACTTTTTCCAAAAGTAGTTGAATACCCATGGATTTGCCCAATGGTAAATATGTGGCACGTGTTTTGAAACGCTTTGTAAATAGAGAATGATAAGAACATGAAAGAAGAGCAGATAAATAAAATTCAAATTTAATTGCTTTTGTGTTTGTTCTTTTTACTGTCAAGACTCCTCGAGAGCCTTCACAGTTACATTATAAAATAGTAATAGTTTCAGGTATTATCCCTGTTTTATCAGCCTGGGGTCCCCACAGATCCCAAATGGACAATAAGTGGTTGTCCTTAAGGTGGTCGTGGCAGGGTTAAGAAAAGAAAGGTGAGAAAGAGTGATCTGTTTTATATATATATATATACACTAAAAGTATTTACTAAATGCATTAAGCACTGCTGTGAAAGAACTGGCGAACTTTAACATTTGATGCAACGACTGCATTACGTAGCTGGTCGTATTTCAATGGACTGGTTCTGCAATGATGAGGAACGATTTTCAGTCCTCAGCGGAAATCCATCCCTTACAGGAAAAAAAGAGTCCTCTGCGGAGTAATCTGTGGTATATTCTCATCTACTTCTATTATCCAGCTTCACCAAACTCCCATGAGGCATGAAGCAACTGTCTCTTGACATTTACTGTAGACAAATGCTGTTGCGTCATTTTTGCTGTTTATATGAAGCACTGTTTTTTATCTTTGTAATGTTGTTTTAAAAACATTCACCAAACCAGATCATGTCCATACTGGAAAATTTAATGAAGCTTTAAAGAATCTAATCAATCTCCTATACTGGCTCATTTATCCGATCACATAAACATACTCCATTTACGAAAGGTCTTTCATACGGAGGCTCCATCCTCAACGATAGCCGCACTATTTAAATACATAGTTCGGATGTAAACTCAAAAAGTTTAGCAACTAACATAAGTTTATTAATGAAAAAGAGTATTCTAATTTGATGTACACCGCAAGCTATGTCTAGAGAACTATAAGTAGTATTCCTAAGTGAAGAGAGGCTTCTAAAACTAGAAGAAAATGTGATCGGACAGATTATGCTGTTTTCATTAAGAAATATGCCTTATATATTAGATATATGATAATTTGAAAGAACGATTGCAAACACTTACACACATTCGACATATGCGCATCAAAATCTCCTAGTTTAATCTGGTATTTCGAAACCAATTCGATCTCTCATTACTATTTCTTCGCATGATCATCATTTCTTGAAATCTTTGTCGACGTCCGACTTATGGTTACCGAGATACGTTTCTGACCCGGGGGTCTAAACTGCCCTTTTAGTCAGTCGACTTTATATCTTTTTAGAGAACAGTAGAGCTTTGTCTCTTTACAGTGAGACAGCTCCTTGTACATCATCAATTGTATGGAGCTTTCCAGTTTAATAGTGATCAAATGACGTGGGATAATATAAACTATTCATGTTCAAATGTACTGGAATTATCCGATCAAGAGGTAAAAAATTAATTGCACTATACTATTTTTGTAAAGATTACATCTATTTCAAATAGCGAAGAGGTATGTATGTCGTATTCAAATATTTTCTTAACCAACACTTCATACTTTGTTTGTCTTTACTTCATTTGGCACACTATGTAGTTTCTTCTACTTTTTATCAATAAAAAAACTGATTTATTTTCAATTGTCATTCGTTATATGTTTATATAAGATCAATGTTAAAAAAATGTTAAAATATCGTTTTTGATCATGTTTCCAAATAACTACAGTTATTTGAATGACACAATTTACACAACACGTTTTTGTACTAATTGCTAAGCGAGTATTGAAATTGTTATATTAATATTAGCATCAGTTCACGGTGTCCCAAACAGTTATAATGTCTCTTATGCGTTTCACAACTTTAAAAGTGTCTTTAATTAACTATTAGAAAAACATTTATGAGACAATTCCCTTTATCAACAGATAGAAATAGTGGTAAAAAATGGTTCAGCTATATATCATGAAACTAAATCAAGTCAATATTTGATAATAGACTTAACAAGATGGTCAAGAAATGAATTCATAGTTGACCTTACCCATCAGTCGGCGTATTTGATGCACTTCTACTCCGTTTTTTAACTTGTTCGTTTCGTCTACATTTACTATTTACTAAGACGCTATTTGAACGAACTATTGCACTTGTCGAGTTTTGTACTTGCAGCTTGTTTATATCGATTGTTGTTGTGACAGTTTTAACGCTGTTTTGTGATGGCATTGTAATTTTCAACCGATTATTGTCATTATTATTATTATTACTGGTGTTATTACGGTCCATGATTGTCGTCAGTTGAATTACATTATTTAAGCTTTTTCCGGGAAGTGACAATGAACGAACATTTATTGTTTGCTGTGGTGTTTTGAAATCATTCATTTTCACAAAATCCCGTCTATTCATTACCTAAACAACATTTGTATATTATTTGCAATACAGCGCTGGGGGGAAACTGTTTTACCCTTGTAATGATTGCTCGTTGTTGATCGAAATTGCCCGCTGATTTTACAATATTCTCCGCCATCGTTTGCTGAGTAGGTACGTTTTCTTGAACAAGCTCTTTACTGGAATTGTTACTGATTGGTAACGGAACAGTAGTGCTAGTCTGAAGTCAGAAGATACATCGGATATACGCATACCAATCAAATGGACTTTTTTCAGTAAAATACCTGTACTCTGATGGTCTCAACAACTTCTTGTTTAATTTGTGTTTTTGAACTATCTGCAACTGGTTTTATCAAAGTCGTTATCACACCATCATCGACAGATAATGATGTCGGCTGATTTTTCGTTTTATCATCTTTGTTATGAGTGAACAAAATGCTTCTATCACCCTTGAATGGTGTATCAATTTTAGTCAAATTCAAAAAATTTATTTTTGGTGTGAACAGTTTTGTGGCTGATAAGCGAGCATTTTGTTGAAATTTAGTAGCGAGCGCTGTCTTCCAACTCTGATTAATTGCAACAGATTGTTGTTGTGTCTGTTGCTGTTGTTCGTGAGAAACAGACAACGAAGATGGAGAAGAGTTTGTACTTCTTGAGGCAGTCGTTGCACTATTACGATATTCTCGTCGTTGATGACGTACAAAATCGTTGATGGTTGTTGATTTATTTAACGGACCTCGCCGTGTATTCAGAGAGAAAAAAACGGAATTTGACAAAGAAATAACCTTGTCAATCTAAATAGTAATAGAATAAACATAACACGTGGCGATAATTTTATCGACTCACATTAGAAACATTCGATTTGGGTGCCATCATACGCTGCCTTTCTAGACTCGCTGACAGACTTCGCCTTGGTGTCGGTATCACTAACTCCGCCCAGCGATTAAGATCAAGAGCAGCCATATTATTATCCAGGACAGTTGAAGTTGAACCTGTTGATTCATCACGCGGTGTTGTCCGTTGTGAGAATGCCGGTTGTCCATTTATAACAGTGACATTGCAGGTGTTCGCGTTATTGTCAGTATTATACACATTGTTCTGTTTTCTACTATTGACTCTTGCTATTGCGTTATTTTGATCCCATGGAACTGCTTCACTTGTTGTCGTGGTGATGCTTACTATCGACGATGCTGAATCTTTGTTCGAGTCGTCAGAGGGTGGCGGCACAGTACCCTTTTGTTCAACTACCACTTTTGGACGAAAAAATGGATTGGAATAATATGGATTGTTTCGTGAGATATTACTAGTTTGGTCATTTAGCTGACCGAGGTTAAATGGTGTCTGTTGACGATATACTTTTGGCACCGTTGTATCATCCAGGGATTGGTCATCTGCGATATAAATAGAAAAAATGCAGAACTATAAAAGAAACGCATTCTGTTGTACTACAGACACCTTTGGACAGTGCTCTACTAAGAGTATTTTGTTTAAAATCGGCATGTTTGAGATGATTGGTTGTTGTTAAAGAAATCGGAGTAGATATAGCTTGATTTGGAAATCTATTTTGAATATGACTGGCTGTTTCAGCCCTTGTTGCAGATAAAACATTATTATTGTGATTATTTTTATCTTGAGCTTGCCGTTGATCTAGTGTGGGATAAAGAACAACTCGTTTTGCTGGTTCACGTTCGACAAAAATTACACCATTTCTTTTCATCATTCCAGGATGACAGCAAGCTTTTGACGGGGTGGTGGAATTTTTTTGTGATACTCAAATGATCATACGTACGATCATCGATCATTATTGTTTAAGAAACCCCTATCAAATTCATAAACATGTCTGGAAGTTAAGAAGTTGAAAACAAAGTTTTAATATTTTTCTAATGCCTAAAAAATTAAACACTACTAGCTACGTATTTATATGCTTTAATGAACAAGAAGTATTCTAATCTGATTTTAATCTTTCCAAAGCTTCGATTAGTGCTTTCAATTTTTCAGAACTCTCAACAGTTGTCTGAGTCATCATAAATGTCTGAGCATGTGCGACAGAGACCATTAACGTGTGTGTTGCTATAGTATCAGTACATTCGTGCTCTCTCTTGTTTTACCCGATAACAGAAAATTGTTCTGCTGTTTAGCTCTTATGTTCTATCCAAAGAAATGTGTATGAGTTTTTGATCATTTTCAGAAATCTCTCAATCTGACTAATGCCTCCTGTTTTGGCGCCCTCTCTTCTGTTTTTGTCGAAAACGCTTTTCTTTTTCGTTGTAGACTACTGATATCAAGTATACCTAACAGTATTGTTACCGAATACTAGCCACCTTTGGGTTGTCTTCCCTTAGCCGAAAATAACAGCTGATAATAGCGGCTACGAGAAGGATTAGTAAAAAATTTGCCGAAAATAAGAAAAAGTGCACATAGGAGGAATAATATATGACTGATAGAAAATAAATATACTGTCAGAAAAGAATATACTCTAAATATGTAAAGAACACGTAACACTTCAAATATGCCAAACTTGCATTGGAGCATGGTTAGAACACACTTCATCCGCCAAGGACGCCGCGACAACAGGAGCAGGAAGGGGGATCCCCCACCCTACTTTTATAAAGTTTTTACTCCCAAATTCGAAAATTTATTGCTCTGGAAATGAGATAAACAATTACCACCACCTAGTGTATGCTACTAACGATAACAGCATGTGGAAACGAAGAGGAAAAGCTTCTGAGCTCGGATTTAGTGCTGCATAATGAGCAATCGTTGATTACTCATTATAAATACTCTCGATTTAAGAGTAAACATCAACATATTTTCTTTTCTTCGTTTACAAGAAAATCTGCTACGACTTGCATTTTGAAAGCATTGCATTCTTCTTGCTCTCTTTCACTAACTAGCTACCAACTCCCGCGGTATAAACGCTTGACTCTTCGGAACAAAAGACCTTGTCCACTGAGTTTACTTCCAAAGTCAAAATTTGAGGCTCAGATTTTCAATCAATTCTTCAGATCATGATGATGAATTAGTACGTTTTACTCTTAAATTTAAAGAAGTTTATGCTATATCTCAGACATAAACTGCGGCTTAATGAAAACAACTAAAACCAGGAAAGCGTATTCGAAAAAGCACAGTAACAGATTTCAGAATAATTTAGTTGTTTTTCACAGTTAAGTGTCTGTGAGTTAGAATAGAAATCAGTTCAGAAAATGAAAAATATGTTTAGTTTTATTGCAGAAACTATAGCAAAAAACTTGAGCGCACGAAGTTTTTGCAACTAAAATGTTTTGTATGTCAAAACTTACGTACTATTAGACAAATCAGATATTTACTCTCATTTTGAAATTTTTCGATTTACTTCTAAATCGGAGGACCCCCTCCCTGTTTCTTGTACTTCTCGGCGTCCCTGTCACCCGCATTCGTTATACATTTATAAAGTTTATTCTTTTTTGAGAGTGTAGCGAAATTAAAGATGTAGAAAGTGTTTTTACGTAGAACTCAACCAAATTAAAGATAAATGGACACTTCTTACATCCTCAGTCATTAATAGTACGAATCAGTTAATACTTAGTAGTTAGTAGTACTCTAAATCAATGAATTTTTTTCCAAAGAAGTGTTTCGTTCAGATTTTTAAGTGATCATTTTTACATACAGAAAAATGCTCATGATCTAGCTGTTCACTCTTGCCATAACCATTGGCTCATATTAAAATATTTTCAGAAACTATTTTATTAAATAATTATGAACCAGCATAATTTGGACGTACATAACGTTCGCCTGATAAATTACCTAATTGAATATTAATAATATTAACTATATCATCGTCATCAGATCAATTTACATGTACTACCCCCACCCCACGAAGCACTTTTATAGAGTATCACTAGCTTTTTGCGATAAAGAAAACGTTTTACTACAAACCTTCAAAAATTAGTAACCTCCTAAGGTCTTTGGATCGTATTCAGATAATCGTATGAAACGAGTTTTAGTTTTTCGAAAATCACAAGTTCTCGATTTCTCCAAACTATAGTTACTTTTATTGTCGCCTTAGCAGAATAATAGCGAAGCCACGAAGGACTCTTTGGTACTTTTCTCGAACAGGTTTGCTGCAAAATTCCATTGGCTCCCATTTCCAGCAAAATTTATAAAAGAAATTTGTTTGCTTTCATCCATGCATAAAAATCTTCAACATGATTACTATACGTTCTGGATAAAAAACTCAATAGAATGTAATAGTTCTTAATAAAGTATATCAGTATTTAATTATGCGGATGTCAATGGTTATAAATTATGCATATCACCGGATCTAAAAATTTTAAAAGTTTGTTCGGTCAAAACCGATTGCAGATTCGTCTTCCCCATGGTTGATTATGTGGTACGTGACGACTTCTGGATCGGGATACTTTAGAAAAAATTTTCGATATCGTTTTGCCTTTGATCACATACGGTAACTTTCTGAAAAATTTTTTGAGCAAGACTATGAGAAAATTTTTTTTAAAGTACCCTGATCCAAAGGTTATCGCGTAACACATAATCAACCACGGAGAAGATGAATCTGCAATCGGTTTTGACCGAACAAGCTTTTAAAATTTTTTGATCCAGTGATATGCGTTTCCACGCTCGTTACATTATCTGTTTAATTAGTTCTATAAACACGTCTCAGCTGATTAAATCAACATCAGAGAGACGAGCTACAGTTCAGTCATCAATATCTAATATCAGGCAGCGATAGTGTATTTCCATTTACTGCAGGAGCACTAGAACAAATAAGGTAACTTATAATTCGAATTTGACATAGCAAGAAGATTTATAACTGTTAGAAAAACAAAATAGAATGCCATTTTTATGAAAAACTATGATGATTATATACTGTTATTTTCTCAATCCTTTCCTAGCACTTCTTCTCGCATTTTTTGGCAAGATTTTGGCTCAAGAAGTTTAACTTTGATCAGATTTGTTCAAATTCGAATAATAATTTCTTACAGTATGTCGATAGTAATATAAAGTAAATAAATAAAAGTGGCAGGAGTTTGGAGAAATCATTTTCACGATGACTTTTCATGTCATAGTCTCTATATCAAATCTTCGAACAATATAATGTATAATATATAATTCCTGTAATCAGTATGATAAAAGATTATAACAGATGGCGCAGAAATAATGACACACTTTTATTCTCTTTTTTCAGGCGCTTAACCGAGTTTCTAAGGCTTATTCGATAGAGAATTTTCTGCTCTACAAAATCCATTACCTTCTTTCATTACATATTATTTCATTATCTAGAAAAAATAGTGTAGAACAAGGACACAAAACTGCGCTGAAAAAAACAAGTACCCTGAAATACTTGTTTTTTACAGTGTGCGACGGAAGGAACAGATTATACTTTTTTTGTACTCTACATAATTGATTATTTAATAATGTTTCTGTAAGCTATTTATCACAAGTACTTTGAATAAAGAAATCGTCTTCATTTAATTAATTCACGTTGAAAATGACATTTTTCCTAACATTCAGTCACAGCAGATGGTCATAAGATGATGGGATTATTTGTGTACCTACTTTGGCCTGTATACCTTAAGAAACGTACATTTTCTGTGAACTCTTTCTAATAATCAAAACCCTGTTCAAAACCAGTAACAATTACAACCAGCTAAGGGTTCAACATGCAAACCCATATAAAACAAATATGCGCCAAATAGTTCATTCTGTTCATCCTATATAATGCTGCATGCAGTCTTTTATATTTATGTTTTATGGTTTCATACGTGACGGGAAGCTGTCTATGATACATTATAACTCATCCACAGATTTAGCTACTACTGATACTCAAAGGAGGGATCTGCATAAGGCTGATAATCGATCCACTTTATTTTTTGTTTAAAAATGATTCTGTGAGTAGTAGAAAAGTACTATCAGTCGGTTTTAAGTCATTTCGCGTACTTCTGGTAACTAAAATGCGAGTAATTCTTCGTCAATAGAGTACCAATAACTCATCCTTCAAAGATTAGTTATAGGTTACGTAAAACGTGTTTTTCTCATGTTTCCAAGCAGTTTGGTTGAGTTTTGAGTGAGATTGGGATATTTTACTTGTATACACTTATAGCTGAATTAGTGAATTTTTCTCAAAATTTAGTTTCACTAGGTTTTTCCACCTTTTTCTGGAAAAAAAACATTACCAAGAGATTGAGTATGATCAATAACCTATGTTTCCACTTACTTTAGAGTTTATCCAAGATCACCTAATACCAGTCGTGGGACTATCAGCAAAACGGATACCACGCTTAAAATTACAGAGACTAAACCTTCTGATCAAGATATCATACGTAGCTTACTTTGTAGGAAATTCGACGAGCTTTAAAATGGTATATGACACAAAATGTGCTTATTTCTTTACTAGTGTAAGAAATAGTAAAAACTGGAATTATGTCGCATATTTCCCTAGTTGGTTTACTTTTGGTCCCACCGTTCTTGAAATTCTGAAGTTGCCAGTTTGTAGCACATTTCATGAGCTCCAAACTGATATATAATAGAAAAATGTATGTTTTCTTGTTTGGGACAAAAAGAGCTACAAGAGCGAGGGCTGTCTACTATATTGTATACGTAGGATTAATCTAAGCGTTCTACTGCTATCAAAGCACTGCGGTTAATTGTTATGTTACACACATTCCGTAGAGAATCTTAGGGGCTATCCAATGATATATTTAATTTGTCGCCCACACGATAAAAACATAAGAAAAATACCTATTTATGACTTAAAACCGACTGATAGTACTTTACTACAACTCGCAGAATCATTTTTAGACAAAAAATAAAGTGGGCCGATTATCAGCCTTATGCGGACCCCTCCTTTATTATATTACAATTCATTTTAAAATGTTCACAGATTGATTATTACCACTCATGTGGATTTATATTCTATACACTTCTCTACGCTGAATTTCAAAAAGCGAGCGCACAGAACATTCGTGCTTAAGCTTTGTGTGTATATTCTGATCAACGATATCGTTGAGATCAGGAAGATATAGTAATAGTAGTTAGCAGCAGCAGATGTTCATGGTCAGGCTATTATTTGGCTGATCCATGTTCAACATACAACAATTGCGATGGTGATTTTCAAGTGTTCATTTAGTGTTTATTATATGACAAATTTATATCTGTCTTGGATAATTTAGAATATGTAATGACGGAGTACGGGAAGATGCTCCGAAAAGAGACGAACATGGCTCATTAGATTATTAACGACGTTGTGTTATAAGATAGCGCGAACATCACCCTTCATAACAGATAAATATTTTACAATGTCGACATATTTTTTTCCATTATATATATTTATTAATGGACAGTATTTACTTTGAGCACCAAAAAATCAGACTTTTGAGCCTCAAATTAATTATAAGATAAATGAGCATAAGACATTTGAGCACCAAATTAGTTATATGTTAAACGAGTACTGAAAATAAGACAAATGAGCACCAAAAATAAGATATGTTTTAATGCTGCTCAATCGTCTTAGTTTTTGGTGTTCATTTATCTTATAACTAATTTGGTGCTCAAAAAGTGTTATTTTTCGGTGGTCAAAAAACATTTCTTCCTTTATTAATAAATGGTGAATAATAGTGATGGTTTGTTTAAACAAATGAGCTCAACGATACGTTTTTTTCATTTATTCTTAACTTTTTGTCATCTTTTTATATTATGTGTGGTAAATGAATTGATCGTGTTCTGAGATCCGGATAGGAAACTAGAAAATTTTTTTTCTTAAAGACATTTTCGGGGTTACCTAACAAATAAAACCGTATTAGTTTCTACAAACATGTAGTAGTATTCAACAATAGTTCAGATGCTTTTCGAGTGAACAAGCCATTCTCATTCGTTTCTCTAGCAGATATTTTTTTCATGGCTGTTCTAAGAAACTCTCATTTATCTTGGATGATTTTCCGCTGAGAAAATCAAGTTTCAATAAAAAACTGATAAAAACGATTTTTATCTTTAATACTCTCTTTTTATATGCCCAATAAAATCTTCTCGCATAGTTAATAAAAAATTATCGAAAATTGAGCAACAGATAAAAAAAGATAATCAACATTCGATCGGGTAGTCGAATGCCATAATCTTTTATGAATAAACCTCTACGACTAATCAATGGAGGACTAACTCAATGCCTAGCCATGGAAAATAATCTGTTATTCGAAGAATATGTAATTTTTTTGAATATCCAACATTGGACTATAGTCCGTTTTTTTAAATTCCAAATATTCGACAAAGTAGATTTTTGAATTATTTTTGCCTTATTTTTTTACTAGTTTTCGAGAATGAAAATCGTATCTCGTACCGTTTATCTTTCTTAATGTTGATTCAAACATTTTTTTAGAAAGTACTTTACGAATTTTTATATTTTGAAATGAAATAGACAACGCTCAAGTGAATATTTATTTTTCATATTTCAAAGTTCACATCGTTTCTTTATTTTGTTTGCTATTTTAAAAAGATTATATTTGTTAGCAAAAGAAATGAAAAAACCTACGTGTGGTTTCTACATCACTGACGTCTTTTTCCTTTCTTTTTACACACATATCTCATTTTCTTTTTCAATCTAAGAATATTATAGAAATTTTTAAACATGTTTGCACTAATGGATTGATCATTTATATTTTTACAAGTGGAAAATTTTTATCAGTCATTATTCATCTGAGCCTTCAATCATGCTAAATAAATATATTTTATCAGATGTCGTCCTTTTTTTAGCTCTCGAAAGATATAATGTTAGAAAATTCTCACACCACTGACATTTTTGTTAATTCTTTGTTTTCTTTAATAAAATTCTTTCTGAGACAATAAGAGTATACAAAAATTTCATAATAAAATCGATTTTTAGCTGAATTCATCATACTGTTTCACATAAAATATTTTGCTAATTGTAAATTGATCAAATTACACTATTTAAGAATACTGTTAGATTAAAGAATTTCGTTTACAAGCAAATGTAGCCACAACATTTTCTCTCGACTCAACCTGAAGGCTAGAAAGTTTTCAAAAGTTTAAATGTACGAAAAAATTATCAGACAAAATTTGTCATAATGTGAATTATATCTTATCTAATAATAATTTTTTATCGCTAATCTAAATACCAAGAGAACGATCATTCATTTGTTTAAGTAATTTAATAATTTAGTTTTTCGTTAAATTAATTCTGAATGTTTTGTAACCTTATGAATACTTAATTAGAAAATGCACAGTAGCGTATATACCATATGTATAGCCAAAAATTTTTTAATTATCTGATGTATCACAGATGAAATAGTTTGAATAGAGACTTTCTTTTGTTTATATGGTGAAAACATTTAAATATAAATAAGAGAATAATTGACACGTATGTTTTTTTATATTTTCCTTAAAAAAGGATCATAACTGGCTTTATTTTAAAAAAATAGAGCAAAATACTCATCTCTGCTTCACTAGCACAGACGGTTCTAAATCAATCCAACTACATAGCTCTGGAATGAATAACTAGTTAATCTGACTCATAAAGGAGTTTATAATAGCGTTTATATTGACGACAAGTCACCATTTGAATTTGTTCGGTATGTTCTAATAGAATCACAAGTATGACCAGATTTTTTACAAACTCATGACGTGTGATCCTCGTAAAGATCTAAATCTTTCACAAGAAAAATTTTCAACAATAAGAACAATAAATTGAGTAGTTATACTTCTATTCAATTTTATTTATTTGACAAACTCATGATCGAATAAAAAACAAAAAGAAGAACAACAAGGTTCAAAGATGATATGTAGAAATATAACATTTTTTCACTTGTTAAACTTCCAGAAGAGTTTGATATTTAACTGCTACTTGTATGCATGTGTCTGACATATAACCATTGAGGATATTTAACATAAATTAAATTTGTTCTTGTTGTATTTTGAATATTTCATGATCTGAAATTGAACGCTTACCAACTCGTGGTAACATAATGATACGTTTTGCTAATTGAATATCATCTTTATCTTGACCAGTCATTGCTTCTTTTAAATATCGTCCAAAACTATTTCTATCGAATAATATGTCTCTATTCATATTTATTGGATCTAAATCGTCCTCCATTAATCGAACGGGTTGCATCGAACAAGATTGAATTAAAAGTAAGAGACATATGAACACTAGAAAATAGAATAGAACTAAAAGATAATAATTTTGAATCGAATATAAAAATTAAGCTTTAAAGACTAGACTCTCTGATTCTCTTCATTAATAAACTTTTAGTAATTATACTCTATGATACTTGGGTATTATTAAAAAAGTAAATTGTGGAATTTAGTTTCAAAGACTTCAGCGATAGTTTTTCTTTTTGAACTGTAATCCTCTTTAGATCATGTGTTTATTAAAGATCTAATATTTAAATTTAAAATATTATTTGTCTAAACAGCTTTTTAATTGACTTAGAGCAAAAATGAGATAGATTATTATGAGTTAGTCAGTACTTTCATAGAGTTAGATTTGACTTCTCATTTTTGAAAAATTTTACTGATGGATTATTTTTGTGTCAAAAAAAAGTTGGATTGTCTGTTACCTAAGAGAGCATAAAAATGTCAATAAATGTTATTGTCAATGTCCTCCTCCTCATCATTGTAATATATTCTATATTATACAATATCCCACAAAAGAAAGTCTATTTAAAGAAACTTCCATTTTGTCTCTCTCTCAGAGTGCAAAACTTTCTTTTTTTTCTTACTGGAATGCAGAAAATTGTAATTAAATTCAAGCTTAAAGAAAATTCTGTTTAAAAGAAAAGAGGTACAACGAACTACGCCAGTTATGAAAAAATAATAAATATTAACGATTAATCATATTAGACTATGACGTCAAATAATGTTTTACTTATATAACTCAAGCAAATAAAAAGTATCGAGTATTGGGTAATCCGACCTAGGTAACCCAGTCTAATACCCGATATACCTAGATACAAATAAAAAGACAGTATTGAGTATTGGACAACCCAAGCTAATTAATTCAATAAAGTAGTCGATATATCTAAATAATCGAATATCTTACCCGATTCTGAATATTAGATTTATTACGTGTCCAAGTAAGAAATCTTGTGAAGTATCTAGATATTTTATTGTGGTATTGGGCAATCCTACTATGAAATATCTAGGTACAAGTATCACTTTTATTGGATTATCTAGATATATTGGATAGATATATTGCAATAAAATATCTAGATATTTTCATATTCGATTTTTTGCTTGGGAATGGATGAATGATCTAAGTATATTATGATAAATATTTGACGATGGCAGATCAGACCGTAATCCATCTCAGATTTGACATTTGAATAAGCTATTTAGTTGGGCATCAAGCTGATACGAAAATCTGATAATACGAACTCTAACCGATTTTTCCTGAACAAGTTATAGAAATAATAAAATTTCAGCTTAAAATACCCCAAAATGTTGGCTTTTCGAAAAAAGTTTTGTTTCTCAACAACCCTTTAATCTCTAAAGGAGCTTCTGATATGTATAGATAGAAGACACCATGGACTATACGAATATCAGTATTAGCACCTCCTTGCTCTAGTTCAAAAACACTAGGGCTTCCGCTGATTCAAGGTAAAGATGTACACTTTTCTTCCGACGATAACACTGGAAATGAAAAATAAACATATGGTTAGAATCAGCAGAGTCTGATCTGTCAACGAACTATCTTGAAAACCGTGTAGACTTTTGAACAACCTCAAAAAATTGGCTTTTACTCATTTTTATTATTATTTCGTGCTCCTGATAAGCCATTATCTCAACTAATGTGCATTTGGATTTGTGATCAACATAAAAAACTGAATCGAATCATGTATCACATAAAAAAATTTATTTTTCGATTCAAGTCTGTCTTTGACAGGCTCAGCCAATTGTTCAAGTTAAAACTACCCTTTAGACTAAACCATTTGAACAGCTGAATGTGGAGTTGCTGAAACGTTTTTGAAAGTTCTGTTTGGCTGCTTATTGCATCCCTTTTCCTGATAGACGTTTATTTCCTTCACCATCTGGATAGATTTTTCACATATATCTTTCCAGCAGTTATTCTCTTTTTAAATCGTGATTTCTAACTGGTTGGTAGAAAATGGTTGCGCACAGACTTCGTATGTAAGTAATAAGCGTCTAAATTTATTTTTGAAACTGTGAGAAACGTACAAACTCAAATACGGCTTAGCTACAGTAAACTTTTAAAAGCGCATAAATGATGGAATCATCTGTTTTGTGTAATCACTTTGTAGTTACCTGCGGTAAACCAGTCTGAAACCATGGTGATTAAAAGTTTATTATATGAGACGTTTAATAAATTATATACGTAAGTAACGATGTTGAATTCTAGTAAATTTTTAACGTAAATGAAGACTCATTAGATCTACACTTAACAACTTTTTATTGTACGGATGATACGGATTCGAATTTTTTTAGTATTTTTCTATACTTTTATTTAATAGATGATAGATAGTATACAAAAGAAAAAAAATAATAGAAAGAAAAGGTAGACGAAAGAAGGAGAGAATTTTTTTCTGTGCTTCATAATTTCTCTCTAGTGAATATTAAAGTTAATATTTAATTAAAATGTAAAGCAGCATGATAATGTAGTTCATTTTCGTCTTTTATTTAAGCACGTAATTAACTTATTAACGGAATACGATTGTCTTTAAAACTGTAAACCTTGTGTGATTACATCAATATTTTATTTTCCTCATAAATTAGTATTGTAAAATAGAATATGCTAAAGATTTTACTGATAGATATGATCTAAAAATCTTCATCTATAGAAAAATTTTATTGTATTTTTTAATCACTATTCTTACCTTTTTTTAATGCGCTAATCTTCTGTTCACTTGGGATTCTCAGTTCTTGAAAATCGAGAAGAATTAATATAATTTGATACACACAATCTAACTAAACGTATTCTGACAATGTCTCGCCTGGTTTTAAACAGAAGAACAAACGATTGTTGTCTTATTTATAAGAGACAAACATTTTTTGATATAAACTGAACCGTCTAATCCTCTAAGCTGCCCTTTACAAAAACTACTTTTCCTGTTCTATCGTATTCTCAGAATCGAACAAATCAACAAGAATCTGAAATCAGCCTTATGAGTTACAAGTTGTGACTATCTAACAACGTTTATAATTAAATAAGTCGTAGAAGACTCGTTTTATTCTAATTTTGAATATCAAGATATTCCTCTGGCCAAAATAGGTCGAACACACGTTTATTAAAATTAATCCTCCATACAATGGAAGTTAACTTCCATTGTATGGAGGATTAATTTTAATAAACGTGTATTCGAGTTATTTTGGCCAGGGGGATATTATATGCTAACTTTTGAATATAAATCGCCTCAAATGATTTACTCTCGTTTCGTCCCTTATATTTTCTATTATTCTATTTATTTTATAACGATCTATTTCTTTCTATCAACTGTATGTTAATCAATATTAATATAATTAATTAAGACAGTATCAGTTGCATTTACTATTTTATTGACAAGTTGCATGAAACAGGTAGTTTTACAGCAAAACTACCTGTAATATTGCCATATTTAATGGCAAGTTTAGTTTCAGACAAAGCACCATTCTCATGCCTTTTGATTGATAATCGTTAAAATTAAGAATTTGTCCACCACTTCTTATTTCTGTACAAAATATTATTATTATTATTATCATCATCACAGAAAAGCATGTTGAATAAGTGCATAATGCCATAAGAGCATATGATAGTCCCGTTTATGAGCTATGAAACAATGTAACGGTCAGACGGCCGTAAGTTGTTATTGATGCAGATTTAGAAACGAAATCAATAATCAATTAAAGAAATAGATAGTTATAAAATAAATTGAATAATGGAAAATATAAGAGACGAAAAGGGGGAATGGGCCGAAATGAGAGAATACCCCTAAAATTGCACTTCAAAATATATGAAATGTGCTCCCTCGGGTCAGAAACCTATTTCGACATTCATCAGGCGGATATCGACAAAAATGTTAGAAAATGGTGATCATGCCGAGAAATAGTAACGATAAAAGTTTTAAGGCTCTACCTATTTTCATTTAATAGATATCGCCCGAATAAGTTAGGATAACGACGTAAAAGAGATGTAGTTTTGAATTTTTTCTTTATTTTACTTTCTGAAAAATTTTACCTTAAAAGTTCAAAAAGCGAAGAGTATAATTTTCAACAGTATAAAAGAATGACGGTCCAAATCAAAAATCGGACTCTTTTACGTTGTTCTCATACATCTTAGCGTCAATCTAAAAGAAATGAATTCATTTTGACTTTTCATCATGGAAAAATCTGCTGGACGATGATTTTCACAGAAAAAAGTTTCAAGAAAAATGCAAACTACTTTTCTTTCTGAAAAACTATTTCGCTTTTGATGTGTTGTGTTTCAAACCCTAAAAATTTAGTAAAGTTCTCTATGACTTTTCGACCATGGAAGTTCTGATGTGCATATACCCGTACATGTATACGTATGCATGTGTGTATGTGAACGTTTTTCTCAAAATGCCATTTTTTTAATCTATGAGTATAAGATATAAATTAGCAAATCGATCAACCGAAAACCGATTCTCGTTGATGTTATATATGCTTACTCCTGTTTTATTTTCTTTCTAATGCCTATAGCTTCATTATATATATCATAGAAAACATAATCTGCACATTACGTTTGAATCTTTATATAAAAACTACTTACTGCCGAAAAAAGTGCATACGCAGGTATCAGTGTATGAGATTAGAGATGGCTCATTATTGTTACTGTTACCAGTAATACAAATATTGTATATATTCCTATTACTGGTAACAGTATTACTGAAAGTATTTTTTTTTAATTTTTTTTTCAAAAGAATATTCAAAAGATTTCCTAACGTGTTCTTGGATGAATATTTCTACCAGAAAACTTTGAAAAATCTGACAAACATTTTCTCTTTTTGTTCTGCTGAAATTTCTTCTATTCTTTTCAATTTATGAGGTTTTTGAAAATTCTTTCGGGAAACCATAAGCGTTTTGAGGATTTATCTTACAGATTTCTTTTAAGTAGGATATAGAACAGCCTAAATACCGTACATCCTGATGTTTACAACTCGTTCTCATACTTTTTGACCGAGTTATGAATGTTTTAATATCAGGTGAAAACAGCATAAAAACTTTCATAAGACTCGAGTTTGATCTGGTTTTTGGAGCTTTTTCCAAAAATAAACATTGTCATCAAATTCAGTTTGGTTGATTACGTCAGTTCTATACGATTTCAAGACTACCTAAAGTTACAATAGAATAGAAATATTCTAATAATATAAAATAGAAATATTCATCCAAGAACACGTTAGGAAATCTTTTGAATATTCTTTTGGAAAAAAAAATTTTCTGGTATTACTTTACTGAAAAGTAATACTAATTTTATGAATATTCTTATTCCCAGCATCAGGAATACTGTTTAGTATTACTGTTACTAGTAATAGGAATACACGGAAGATTACTGTTACCAGCAACAGGAATACCTTACAATATTATTTTCCTCGGTAATGTAATACATGAGTAACAGTAATACTGCCACCCCTATATATGGTAAATGAATGAATTGATCTGTAATGTACCATTCCCTCAAACTTTATGTTTGGCTCTATAAATCGGTCAATCTGCAATGAATAGCTTCAAGATTTTTTTTGCAAGCAGCTGACCGATGTGTCTAACTAGTTTGCTAAGCTTAGAAAGATATCTCGCCTTAATCTCGTAAAACGCTCAAAATAATCGATGTCAAAGTTCTACTGTGGTCGGTGTTCAACAGATTTTTCTGGTGAAATTTCATTATGGAAAAGCATTCTTTTCTTAAAGACCAGTCGACGTCGCGTTCTATCTGAATATATAATTAGAAATTTAAACACGAGAGACGCTTAGTCGCAGATATTAGAAACGATGGAGGTATTGAAATTTCTGTGAAAAGTGTCCCGTCATCGTCAGACCTTCAAACCTCGTCAAAGAATTTCTGGAACAAAAAAGAAGAAATTTGTCAAAAACATATTTTTTCATGAATTATTCGTTGTAATTTTACATCGCGTTAAATGTCTCTATTGTCTTGAAAATGACAGTTACAATTTTCGAAACGTCTACTTTATTTTTATAAAAGACTTTTTAATTTTAATTAAATAAATATGAATCTAAAAGCAGCTGCTGTTACTATTGTATCAATTCGAATTTCTTTACTTTGCTGAGTTTAATCCCGTTTTCAAAAAACAAAATTTATTCAAGACCTAATGGGAGGTATGTGTCATAGGCGGTACAGCACACTAGTCAACAGATAGAACATGTATATTTTTGCAAAGTATATCATCAAATTTAGCAACAATTAAAGGTACAGCATCATATCATGAAATTGAAATAAACAATAAATGTTTATTTAATCAAAACCATATTCAAATTCACCATGAATAGTAATCAATTTGAAAGATATTTTAAATCAGTGTCTGTATTTGATGATTTTTTAGTTAATTATGATATTATATGGTTAAAATACAAATGAATTAGTTGTTTACAATTACACTTTATTTTATTAATTACAAAGAGACAAACTGTGAAAAAATGTACGTACTCTTAAAACCATAGTAACGATAGAAAAAATAATGTCCAAGTTGCGAGACAGTTAAAGAGGATATTCGATTCTATCTAATAACTTTTTGTAGAAATTTCGATTTTTAATCCTGAAGGGTCTCGTGTGAGATTCTAAGAATGATGGTGATAGTGTGAATAATTCATATTTTCGCGATTCTTAGGATTAGTACTAACTAGGCATATGCACAAAAATATTTATGAAACAACTTCACTTTTCGAAAAAATTTCCATGCAAACGATACGTTACTCATGCAATTCACCCACATACGTGCACATATATACATCAAATTCAGCAAGGTCAAAAACCTATAAGAGTATAAAAAACAGGCCAAAATATGAAAAATTTTAAAATTCGATTTTTGTTCATAGGACTTCTACAAAACTTTGTAAAAAATCACTAAAATAGATTTTTAGCCAATAAATGCATATGAAAGTGGACACCTAGAGCTATGCCTCTGTTCACTTTTCTTAAAATCAATATTTTTTGAGGAAAATCGTCACTTATGTTGCTTTCAATATTAGAAGGTAACAATAAATCGTTAGTAACTAACAGTTAATCAGCATACTTCAGTGTGAGATTTAGTTTTCGTAATAGATTTTCCGGAAGATGGATTACTCCGAAGACAAATTTTAAATCACACTCACAAACTATCCTGTGAATTATTAACCGATTTATCAACGAAATTTAACAGTCAATTCCAGTGGGAGAAAAAAGTAACATAAAAGGTTTGCACCAGATTGTATTGATTTGTATTCAGAGATTTGCTCAAATCTTTATTTTCTTTGTTTTATTTTAGTTTTTTCCTACCATTGTTTCAAACCCACAATATCATCCACTGATTGAAAATCAAAAACAACAACATAGCAATTTCAACATCAAACGTAATCCGAAAATAAAGAGAAAAAGAAACAGCTGAGAAAAAAAAATGAACTACAAATAAATTTTTTATCTCATAATTTTCACATTTTTCTTTGTTTTTTTTGCCCAAAATTGAATTAATTATTCGCAAACACACAATCAACAACAATAAGAGCGTATATTGTCAAAAAACAAAACAAAGAGAACTTGTTCACATAATAGGTTTATATATATATTTTCCCCCGATTAAATAATCCTCTTAATATTTTACTTACGTCTCCGAAGCCTTTTACCTGACGCTATCGAGTGTGCTCTTTTTCATTGTATATATTAGAATTTTAAACTTAATTTTATGGCATAAACTTTATTAGAATTCTCTCAAATATAATGAAAAAATTTTAGTGTTTTTACTCAACATATTGAAACAGAAAAACATTATTGCATTTGAATGTACTAGACAAGTTGTTTCTCTCCAAAACGAAATAAACATTAATACGAAAAGTTCAATTATGAAAGAGTTATAAGAATTTTATACACTAGTGCAAAAATGTACTTAAAAAAGATGATTTTTGGCAAAAGTATAATGTAGAAAAAAAATCTAAGTATAGATAGAGGATAGTGCAACAAAATGGTTAACTAGATTATTCCATATTGCAACAAGCAAAAGAATAGAAAAGGAAAACTAGGTTTTTTGATTAGCGATTTGACTGTGTTGAAGTCTCGCACTGTTTTCCGTCTGATCTTCTATTTATACATTTTGTAACAGAAGACTTGATACAGTTTTAGTTAAAAATTTTAAGGTATATCTTTTGCACAAAGATCGGACTCAAAATGATAAAAGAGGTCGGAGATACGAGTAAAATATTGAGAACAATTTCATTTGGAACACGGATACAACACTAATGCAGAACGGAAGCTTGCAAACAACTAGTATAGAGTATTATGTCTGTTCATACTACGTAACAACTGTATCATCATCTTTTTTTATTCAATTACTAGTACTTTAATGCACACTTTCTATCGAACGTCAGAGAGAAACGAAATAAAAAGAAAAATATGAGCAACAAACAGAAAGCACGAAGGAAATGCCAGTCAGAAACACAAATTTTTAATGAAAGACATGGGAGGACGGTTTTTTTGAAAAACAAACAAACGTACACAAAAAAAGTGAACTTTCAAGTGCATTTAAGTTTAGTCCGTCCTCTCATTGGCATATATATATAGATATATATATATCTATATATATATGTGTGTGTGTGTGTATAAGTGTGTGTATGTGTATGTGTGTTAAGTCTACTTATCTTTGACAAGAAAAAAAGAGGAAAAATCGACAATGTGTTTTTAATATATTGTTACTTTTCAACCTCACGTCTTCATATCTTTCAATTCACTTATTTGTTTAATCAAGTAAGCTTTCTCATCATTAAATTGTTCATCATCTGTGCGATCCGTATGAAAAGTCGTTAGGAAATCAATTAGTTTATCACGATTACGTAATAAAATGTCAGCGATCGGTTTTGGTTTTGTTGGATTGGCAACAAATATCTAAAATATAAGAAAAAATTCATTGCAATAAAGCATAATCATATCTAAAATGGAAAATAATATTGCTGCAAAATTCAGCAGAAAAGCGATGGAAAAATGTAAACAAACAAGGATCTATTCGATAATTGACATAGCAAACACACATGAATCAGCTTTTTTTATAATTTTTTAGTAATACGATAGCTATGCGTGTGTCTCACCTTGAATACATGAAACGCTTCAAACTGTATATTTTTGCTTTTTTCTTTCAATAAGTTCATCATTAATTTCAAATTGTCCGTATTCGTTATGTAGCGTGTCATAACAGAAAAATTATAGCGATCAAGTAATAATTCGCCAAGCAACTAAAAGAAAGTAAACAAAACAAAATAAAAAAGCAAAAATTTCAGCAATGATGTAGCGCAAATGAGAGAGAGCGAGAGAGCGAGAGAGAAGAGAAACATTACTTTGAATATGTCAAATGCTTCTCGTTTATAGATATCAAATGCTGATGACGTTGTTGGTGTCGAGAGAGGTTGTGGAACAGATTGCGACAATGTTCCAATATTACTTATGGGAAATAAGGCATAGATAAGTCCAAAATTTTCTACATCACGTGAAAAATTTTTACACGTGTTCAAATTGGCATTTTCTAATATTACAGTGGACAAAATCTAAATAGGCATGTTTGTCTTACCTATCGTACATAATTAGTTATTTTAGTCTTAGTTTTAACATCGAACACTCCTTCATTATCTTTCTAGCAATAAACTTTCGTTAAAACACACTGAAAAACATCTCAGTACAACAGATATTTTACGATTCGCTTTTTGTATCTAGTAAACTTGTCTTACTTTTAACGACTGTCTTCTCGTGACGTAATTATCAGAATTGAGTAAATCTTTATATTTATTAAAAAATGCATCATAATTTCGTTCAAGATAATCGGCACACAATGCTTTATGTTTAGTTAATAAATCCTTGAAATAAGAAAAAACATAGCAGTTCTATTTATATATTGAATGATTTTTCAAACCTACTTTGAATGTTGCAAATGCATCTGATGCAATATCAAATGTCGATTTTTGTACATAATCAAAAAATTTATAAAATTCAGGTGATCTCAATATAATTTCAGCCAATTCTTGAACTCGTATACATTCCCGTAACATCATTCCACAATTCAATGCAATATCAGCATTTTCATAACTAAAATAATATTTAAATAAAAATAATAGTTTAGTGAAAAAGAAACAGTGCCGACAATCATATTTACCCTTCAATTAATTTGAATAATATTCCTGGTCGCTGCATCAGATGATCAACAGCTAAATGAGAGAAAAACATATTATCGTTTATCCTACTGTGGGTGTTTATTGCACTGTGTACTACGGATAGTCCAACCGTACGTGCAAGATTGGCGAGCTAAAGCTAAAGTAATCGAATAAAAATACGATTGAATAAAATCTAATTACCTGGATATTTACTACCAACTTGTCGACGTAAGAGATTATTGAATATTGCAACAATTTCTTTTCGGTCTTCGAATGTCACACGACTCAGATTATTAATCATAATTTGTATTAATTCTTGTGAATAAATACCAGTACACAATTGTGATACATCACTTATTGGTGGCTCTGAACTACCATCACGCGGACCAAACAATCCATCTTTCAATGCTAATAATGCTTTATGGATATTTTTAATTGCCTAATAGTAGAATAGATATTAGTAGACTTTAAATTAATAATTCAAACAAAAATGACTTACATCATCATAATTCTTTTTTTCTTTATCTTCATTTTCAATACTACTAAATAAATCTTTTAATTGTTTGGCATGATCAGTTTTGCTCGACCTTGTTGCTAATAATGAACTAAGTGGCATTACTGGAACACGTACGTCGATTTTTGTTCAACGCTCTTCTAATCGTTGTAACCAGTGACTGTTTTAAGTTTAATATTCAATTTTATAGTCTTGTCAATGATTTGATGATACTATGAGAAAATTTGTCTTATACACTTGTTTTGGATGAAAAAAAACAGTTTGATCTAAAACAGAATAAATCTTTCATACTATACATTGACTATTCAAATATCGAAGTTCTATAAAAAAAATCATGAATAAGCGTTTTGTTTAGAACTAATATTAACGTTTAAGATAAGAAGACTCAGCACATTTTACAAATAAAAAAAGGGTTTACCAGACTTTGACACGTGATTATGGTGTGTCAAAACTCTCCTCAGTAAGCTTCTTTTTTACATATCGAAACAGAAATTACTGATAAGGATAATTTAAACGTCATCATATAGCAAAAATCATATAAAAAGAGAGAAATATACACATTTCGTCACGTATGCACTTTTGTATTTTGCACATCGATTTAATAATGAATAACTGTCAAGAAATTATATGAAGTAACCGCTGTTGCTGATTTGAGAAAGTTATCTCGGAAAAGAAGAGGAAATAAATAGAAAATCGATAAACTTATTAAAATGAGTATTGAGCGTACACTAACTATCTTATAGGAACCGATTAGTTATTCGAAAATTAGGAGCAATATTTCATGGTGCTTACATACTAAACTAATCTGTCAAATATCTCTCTTATTGATGTGTATAAAGGTATGCGAGAGACTGCTTGAGTAAAGATACGCACAATCAAATTAAATTTTACTTTAAACTATGTAATATGTTGGTATTGACGATCAGTTTGATTTTGACCTTTTAAACTTGACAAATCAAAATTTACAAAAGTACAAGCACAAACAAATATATTTTTTTTTATTTATTTTGTTTCATGTCCATATATGAAAACAAAAGTTCGTCGATGTTGATTTCAAACACTTTACATATCACAATATTTTCCATTCAAATAAAGAGTTTCTCTATTCATAATAAATACAATGATGAAGTATTATGATATATGACACAACATCCAACTTTTCATTCAACATCTGAAACATGCGACTCATTCTCTCTCTCTCGCGTTGCTCTTCGCTATTTTCTTTTGCTTTCTTTACATTTGTATAGTTTTCGTTATTTGAAATTAATGCATCATTGTAATCTATATTGCGTCATGTAAAAATGTACTAAGGATAAAAAATAAATCAATTCTACTCCACATAGCGGACAGTTTATACACACCTATACACATTTACTATCCTATAGGTATTCAATTGGACACAAGAAGAAAAATAGAAAGAAAGAGATGAAAAAACATATGAAAAAGGTAAGAACATACTTTACTATGACCTATTAATAGGGGGACCTGTATTGATTGTCTTTCTCCTTAAACACCGTGTTTTATATCCTATTTATTCTGAAATGGATATATTTAATGTACCTCAACAATTCAATCAATATATGGAAAAAAAACATAAATAAATAGCAGATGAGCACCAAAATGGCCATAAATTCCAGAAATAGTCGATATCTCAAAGCAAATTGAAAAAAGCACTAATTTAGCATATACATAACAAAAACTCGGCTAATTATACGAAAACAATGATCATTTCCCACGACTAAAATGAGAATGTAATTGTGGAAAAAAACATTGACAAGCGATGGGAAACAGTGTTTCATGTTATCTCCGTGAGAGCTTATAGTTTTCCGCTTTGCAAAAAACAATTCTACTCTAACTACATTGTTCTTTGAAATTTTCAATTTATTTTTACTTTCTACATTATAATTTTGCTACAATAATTGATCTTATTGGCTCAGTCTCTCTCACAAAACATCAAATATTACTGTGTAGATGTCTGTTACATTTGTTTTTTAAAAAAAGAAAAATCTTAATATTTCTTTTGTTTGCTTTTTGTCACCAGGATTCGAATGTTCACTAGAAACGTTAACGGTAGGACTTATAATGAGTGGAAAAATCATTACTATTAGAAACGCAGTAACGTCTTACTTTTCTTGTCAATTAGGATGGATTTCTCTTCAGCATCTATTTTAATTTACAGAATAACCGTTTTCACTTTTTCAACATTACCGTGAACAATAATGACTGAACAAATCTTGAAGAATTCAATAGTCGAACTACTTTAAATATTCTATGATGTATCTCCATTTGACACACCTGGGCAAGATTCAATCACTCAAGATATTTTTAAATGTAAACAGAATGCAAAATAAATACGATAACATATCATTGTCAAAAAGGAACATTTACCTTTATAAATTACAAAGTGTATTTTCTTTTTAAATTTCTGAAATATTTTAGTTCTATGCATTTTTTTACTTTTCGTTACAAAACAATAATCACACGCGCCACTAATTACATACTTTATGACGTTGTTAGTGATACTACTATAGTACTCAATATCGATTTTATATATATTAAGTGAAAAAAACAAGAACGTCAATCAATGTGAGTATACTCTGTTCTTCAATAGATCATTAGCTAAAAACAAACCATTCATTGTTTGTTGTGTAATATTTGACACATATCTACAATCACTAATCAAGGTACCGTACGAGAGCGACAAGACAATTATCTTGCATGTCAAAAGTAAGCAAACAGATGAGTGTAAATCCGAAAGCAGTTCCTATTTCAGAAAGTTTGTATGAACAAGTGACCGTTAGAAGGAGACTGCAGCAACAATCAGTTCGCTTGGTATTTCCAGATCGAAAAATAGGAATAATCCAAATATGAGTTTCCAGGTCAAAGATTCACGACCGTATACTATAGTATTTCGTCGTATTTTGACACTGTTGTAAAAGTTTTCTGAGAACTCATGTTAGTTTTCCTGATTTATTCAAATGAAATATGAGTAAATTTAAGTGAATCGAGTCAATCTATTAAGACACATAGTGTTCAAGAAAAAATATTTACAGATCTTTAGAAATCGATTTAATCACTATAGTGATTTCTAAAGACCTTAGACTTTTGCACTTAGAATATAATCTAAGTGCAAAAGTTATTCTGCATAACATAATCTCCAACTTATGAGAAAACCAGAATCTAATTCTCAAGAAAGAGAAATTTTATGATAATCTAAAATTCGTTGTAATTTATACTATTTTCTAATTATAATCTAATCTATACAATTTTAACTAGCAACAAATAACTTAGAAATTGTATTCGATTATTATTGTGCGATACTTTCACTTAAATTGACTGGAAAAAGTTGTTTTTTTGACTGTATTGAAAGTGTAGAAAAATAACCAACAGAAACCTAGTGAAAGAAGACACAATTATCGTGTACATTGTAAGCATTAAATACGTATGGATGATTATTTCTTACATTCATAATAATTTCGATTATTATAATGGGACATTTTTACACCAGTACATAGACAAAAAAGCAACTCTACCATATTGGTTAATATTGGCTTTTATTCGTAAAAACTGAATGAGAAATATTAAAATTACCAACAAAATTACAAAGACTGGCACTTTTTCCCATAGTACTCTCTGCCTCTCTGTATGTATGATTACATAACGATATATGAATGATCCACACTGCCAGCGTGTGGATAGAAAAAATCAAAATATCAACGGTCTTTCGAACTTTTTTTGTATATTGCATTAAATTCTACTACCATTTGTAGAACAGTTTTTTCAAAATTGTCATTTTAATTTCTCTCAAAAAACGTGATTTCGTAAGGAAAAGCAATAAAACCCTCGTTCTATGTCGCTTTGGACATACATGAAGGTTTCGAAGAGAAATAAGAGCGCAACACAGTTAGTAATTCAGCTTCTTTTTGGGATAGCCTCATATTTTCTTCGATGCAGCACGAGTCACCATTTATGAGTGTTGCTGTTTTTCATTCGGTATTATTTCCGTACTGCTACAAATCACGCAGGAATCAAAATACATAAAAGCTGATATTTCAGTCATCTGTCTCGATTCTGTCATTCTTGAATTCTTCGTGTTTGTTTCACTTTCCAACAACCGATGACTTCTTTTTTCAAATCATCTGTCAGTGTGAATGGTATTTCGGTTGAACGAACAAAACTCAACTTTTTAAATCGAAAATTCAAATTTTAAATTGAATTTAAAAATTTAAATTCAGAAGTGTTTTTCAATTTTCTGACTTACTTAACTTTTCAAAAAATTTCAAAAAGTATATCAGTGGATAAAGAATTAAATTCTCTACAAAATGCACTATTGACTTTGTTTTTAGAACTAAATATCTATTCACAAAAGATTTCACAATGTCCATGGCTCAAACACAGCATACAATTTTTTGGAAACCTATCACAAGTTTTTCTAGAGGTTCTAGAGCCAATATATTCATGTAGTTCGATTCGCCAGATGCTTAGCTTTAAAACAACAAAGAACTATTTTTAAAATTCCTCTTGGTTGCTGAGAAAAATCATTTTTTCTAAATCAGAGGAGAAAAAGTCGAAATTCTGTTCGTAATTCCCAATTTTCTCGATCAGAACTCAACTTTCGAGCAATAAAAGTATCATATTCAGCATCCGGATCAAAAACTGAGTCAATTGATGTGTATTTCTATCCTATCCGACTACCTTAATGTTTTTCGAATTTTCACGTTGAAAGATTACCGAGAATTCACCCAAAACTGGAAATCAACTAAAAATTTCGAAATACACATCAATTGACTCAGTTTTTGATCCCGATGCTGAATATGATATTTTTATTGCTCGAAAGTTGAGTTCTGATCGAGAAAATTGGGAATTACGAACAGAATTTCGACTTTTTCTCCTTTGATTTAGAAAAAATGATTTTTCTCAGCAACCAAGAGGAATTTTAAAAATAGTTCTTTGTTGTTTTAAAGCTGAGCATCTGGCGAATCGAACTACATGAAAATATTGGCTCTAGGACCTCTAGAAAAACTTGTGATAGGTTTCCAAAAAATTGTATGCTGTGTTTGAGCCATGGACATTGTGAAATCTTTTGTGAATAGACATTTGGTTTTAAAAATGTTTTAAGACCATTTTCCTGTTCAGGTTTAGATACAGAATCAGGAAAATATAACATCAAAAGAAAAATGTAAATAAAACGTGGAAAAATTCGAGGTTTTCTATGGTGAAGGATTTCTGGGTTTTTGAAACACTTTCAGTATTTGGAGTTTTTCGACAGGAAAAAGTGTCACAAAAAATCGAGATACATATATTCTTGATCGTCCTGACGTCCTCTATCCAACGATGTATAATATGTTCGAAAATAAATTCCACTCGAACTTTGAATTAGCGACACCTTACATAATATATTAGTCTAAAAAAATAAGTGTCTAAAATGTTTTATTAGTATTTTTTGTATTCGTTTTTTTATTATTTTTTTTTATTTTTCGAAAAATAAGTTTCTTTTATATACGTTGCTATGTGCACAGACAAACAGACAAACAAACTATTTATTTTGTAAGACTCTGACTTTCGTCAAGAGAATAACACATTCTATTCGAATCTACCTTCTTCTATTTATTACGAACTGTGGATAACTGTTGAACGAATACTTCATTTTTCCCAAATAATTCTATTCTTTGAGACCAATAGATGGTATTTAGACTAATTGTGGTTGGTGGAAGAACTACTCGAACCGGAGTCTTTTTCCGAATGGTGAACGCTCGTATGACAAATACATCTTTTGTTCTTTAACAATATTCCATTGATAGAAAGATTATTAATTTTTCATACATCGAATCAGAGTTGGAACCGGTTCAAGAAAATACAACTCAACCCAACCGGTGAGTTGCGAATTTGAACCTAACCCACCGATTACGAAATTTTGTAAACCAGTACAAACTGACGAAAAAAATGAGTAAAAATTGAAAATTTTTGTAGGACTGTTAGTCGCCTCTTGCGACAGACAGCGTTGATCCTCAGATAAAGTACGTTGTAAAAGTAGTTTTCGTACAATTGTAAAAGGTATACGCAAATGTCGTCCCAATTCACGTAACAGAAAAAGACGGTTATTCGATAAGTAAAAGAATGATTTCCGTAAAAATCGATTTTACTCCTTTTTTTCAGCTCTGTTCATGGTTTCAACTCTATATCGGATATCAACAGTACAATGTGAACTCAGATCGCTCATACATGTATGTTATTTTCACACAAGCTTATTGACTAATACTCTAATACTTTTACTTTTGTACGCATTCATCTAGAAAATATTCCAGTTACCATAAGATCTTCTTTTAATATGAAACACAGATTATTCAAGCTGTGTATTTCTGGTTTTGACGATATTTTCAAGTTTTCTTATCTGTCAACTTACTAGTCCGTAATATTTGCCAAGAACATTATAAAAAATGACAGTATAATAGAACATTTAGAAGACTTCATATGGCGTTGTAGATAAAGCATCTTGAATAAAATATGTTTGCCCAATCCATAGAATCAATAACAAAGAAAAAGTCTGCAGCCACTAAAACAGCTGTTTCGAATTGTTCGGTTCCACGAGATGGTGCAAAGTGAAAATTGACTCCCAGATGAAACAATGCTGTCATAATACTCTATACTTATGCTCTTTATTGTTTAGAAACATTGTTTTAGCATTCCTTTGTCAAAAATAAAATAAAACATTTCAAAAGTCATACTCTATTGTGTAAAATGAACAAAATTTTAAAAATGTTAACGTTTACTGTTAAAGAAAAATTGTCAAAAATTTTTTTGTAAAAGATAATGACTAGAATGAGAGATTCGAGAAAAAGTTATACTATAAAACTGATTGATAAATAAATAGTTAGTATTTAAATATTTCGTAGAAATGATGAACGATACGTATAGTTTTTGCGATATCGCTTAGATTATTCTACTGGTTCATAACGCTGTTTTCTTAAGGAACTTGCCAAACAGCATGATAACATTACACCTAATAACTAAAAATAAGAAGAAACATAATACATTAGATATAATAAATGGCTATGATTTATCTTGAAAATGCTTACAGGGAAAAAAGCAATTCCAATGATAACTCCAGCGAGAGTGGGATAATTTGATTGCATTGCAGCCATCACGGAGTTATAGCAGCCCTGGTAATAGAATAGATCAAATAAATTAGATATAAAAGACATCAAGAATACAAACTTGTAAATGAATATCGCTTGGTAGAGATTGATGCGATAATATTGAATGTAGATGGGTTCGATTGCATGGATACAATAAATTTTTCTTGCAACATGATTCTGGAACTTGAGCCAAAGCCTGACCATAATTTGTATCGAACCAATCAGTATAAGACTTGATGCCACAACAAGACAGCTGCAAAATGAATTAATAATATAGGAACTGTTAAAAGTGAAATATTTTATTCTTATACTAAACGTACCATACTTTGAAGTTGATCCACTGACTGTGCACCCGGTTGTTTTGGATAATCGTTTATTATTTTGGTTAAACTGCCCTTAAACGTGTCTTCTAACTAAAGAAAATTGGAATAAATCTTTTTACCATACTACTCATTAGAATCATAGATGACATACCGAATTTTTTTTGTGTAATACCATTACAGCCAGCACAATTTCAGAAATAAATATTATAAATACAATGACGGAATACTTTTAATAAGAACAAAAATATATGAAGAGTGATTTAGAGACAAATAGAGTAATCTTACGATATACAAAGCGACCACAACTCCTTTCATCGTACTCCAGAAAGCAAATAATCCAATAAAAAATATAATGAGACCTAGACCAATCTAAATAAGTGAATATAATTTAAAATACGAAAAATATTTATAAGAAAACTTTTTTTTAACTCACCAAAACATAGGGTGCTGATGATGATGTTTCTGATGAAATATCGAGAAACGTTGATAATTGATTTCGAACAACAAAACCAACCAAAAATAGAACAGCACCGCTAAACTGTAAAAAATAATTTTATTGACAAAATTTAGTCAAATATCAAGATTTCTTACCAAAAATATAATATTAATACCAATAAGCAACGTTCGAAGAAATGCTGTACTAACAGAATTGTTAAATCGTTTCCAGTTCATTATGCTGTTAATATTATTCACTATCGACAGGTAGTTATAAGAAATGCATCTAAAAATACATCAAAATAAAATCGTCACTTCATCTAAAGTGACACAAAAAGTAGATTATAGAGCGAAAAAATCAGTATCAACTAATGAGCTGAAGCCACCGACGTATTCAACACTAAGCCAAGAGATCCCGATTTTTCAATATACGCTGACAAAAAAAAAATAATTCTAAATACTAAATCATTGGAAAAAATCAAATTCTAAGTTTTTAAGATCTAAAACATTATGGTAAATATATGTGCACTAAGTGTGATAAAGCCTTCACTTATTATTATGATAAAACTTCAAAAAGAAGAAAGAAGATCGTGATAGTTCATCAAGAAAACTTACAAAGTAGCATAATGAAAAAAAAATTTGATCAACACCTTAGCAAAATTCTGCGTACATCGCTGGCTGAAGTAGCAGTTGGAGTTTCAAAATAAGAATGTTAATAAAAAAAGTACCAATAGTTTATTGTTTATAGAATATCTCGTAGCTAAGATGGCAAAAGTCTAAAATAATCATCTATGAATGCACATTTTTCTACGAAAAAAGCGAAACATTTTCTAAAACTACAACATGTTTCTTTTATCATGAGAATCAATGTTGGAGAAATGCACTAAACTCTAATAAGCTAGTCCAGCTAACGATTCCCCTTTTCGTTCATTTTCAAAAAATTATTGCAATAAAGCTACAAACTAATCTAAAACTACAACTAAATAATTAAGTAGATTAAACATTTCTCTACAAAATGAAGAGTGTCTCGGCTCTGAATTTTAGATTAGTTTGTTGCTTTATTGCAATAATTTTTTGAAAATCAGCGATAAAAGGGGGACTATTAGCTGGACAAGTCTATAAATAATCTCAAAAATGTGTTTATATCAAACAACCGCATGCACGATAATAACACATTACTAGTATATTATTTTACTTTTTTTAATTCAATATAAACCACTCTATAATCTTTTGAAAAATGTGTTAAACAACAATTTTTCCTATAGAATATAGCTTTTTTCCTGTATACATTTTCTTTTTCGACATTGTTTTTCACATGTATATGGTATATGTACTGATCCACTTTCTTGTCGAGATTCTTGTCAGATTCTTGGTTAATCAATCCAGACAAGAATCTTTAGAAATATTTTACATATAAATATCTGATTGTTAAAATAGAAATTAGATACAAATCGGTATAACAATAAGAAAGTAAAAGTACATTTATCGATATTTTATATCATTTTTTTTATCTCAGGAATCTTACGTGAAACTATTTTCTTGTAAATTCAGTCAGGAATTGTTTGTTTTTTTGTCTCTTGTCATTTTAGACAAAACAATTTTAGATTCGTCTTGATAGATCAAGCAAACTTCTTATTTTTCATTGATTTTCCACAGTTGTATTGAGAAAAAACGTATCAAAAATGGTGAGATTCATTGATGTTAAAGTCACCACTTTGCTTTTCTATATATAGTTTAATTTGTTGCTATATATATCCATACTATATATATATATATATATAGCTCATTATGGCATACATCGGTATCCACACAAATTTCTATAAATCTTACAAGATTCTGACCGAGAGACAATCAACTCTTTAGACATGCCTGTGTAGGTCGGGAAGAGATCGTACGTAAGAAAAAAAAAAACATTAAAATGGATAATGTATAGATTTTTCTTTTCCGACAATATAGATAAAATAGTTACAAAAAGTTCTTGTTTAAAATGACAAGAAACAAGAATCTTGCAAGAACATTGACAAGAAAATGGCCTAATATAAAAGAGAGAAACAATACATAAATTTTTTGCGAATTCTTCTAACCTAAACAGAGGTCACATGAGAAATAAATTATTATGCACGGTAAACATTGTATATTTTTATGGAAACGAGAACTAATTTAGGTATATAGTAAAGACTAACTCAAATTTAGATGTAATATGCATGATTAGAAGTATTTTAAAATTGATTGTGAACTTGTTAGATAAAATAGTCAACCCTTTTGCAAAAAAGAAAAAAGAAACACGAAAAAGCAATTATAAGATTTTTTAGAACATTATGTAAAGCATTTATATGTTTTCTAAACGAGGGTGGAGAACGTAATGCTTACATTTAATCCTAGTTCTCATTCATGAAGATATATGTCATAAGAAAAAGAATTTAGAAAGAAAACAATTTAGCACTATAAGAGACAAAAGAGAAGAAATAATAATAAAATATTGAAATGTAGTTAGAATCGATAAGACAAAAACGTATATTCTTATCCTCTTGTATGTTGCTAATCTCTATATATGCATTGATGAATACAAAAAACAGTCGATGGTTTTCTTGTATTTTTACAATACAATAGTAGCAGCAACACATTGAATAATAACCCAAAATAATTGACGAAGTCATTCGAATAGCTGTTCTCTTATTTCAAAGTACTAAACAGCGATGTTGTGATATACCAGTCTGTAAGTCTGACTTCGAAAATGGAATATCATGCACAATAGTAGACGTGCCTTTTATTATTAATTACATCTCGAGTTCATTGTTAAAAATAAATGGGTGCGGCATAAAGAATGACCCTCTTAGTATTTTCTATTTTTGTCGTGTTCCTTTAGAACCCTTAGGTTAGCGGTTTTTTTTAAAAGATGCGCCGCAAAATACTCTACAAAACCATATTTAAACTTTAATTTCAGAACTTCAATCAAGAAAACTATGCAAATCATACAAAAGACGAAAAAAATGAAAACTTTCTGAAGTCAAAAACGATTTCTTGTGTTAACGTTTTAAAAGTAAGAAAACCTGAATCAGCTATTATGTATCCCTGACTTCGCTCTATCTTTTAGCTGTTGTTGTCAGGCATTTTTCCACTAATTTTTTAAATAGTGGTGCTTTCAGTAAAACTTCGATAACTCCGTCAAACCACAAGCTTTTTCGATTGGGTTTGTTTTGCTTTGACCAGAAATGGTTGCTCTTCTCTACCTAACTGGAAAATCAAAAGTTCGATCATGTTTTCCATTTCTTCCTTGGGCCCATTGTTGGAAACGCGAGGCTGTCAATTTTTTGACTTATTTTTGTAACTTCATTCTCCAGCACACCGTCTGCTCTAAAAAGCATTTTTCCCAGATTACGAGAAAGAGCACATTCAAAAGTACAAAAGGAACTACGTTCTCACTTTTACTGCACGTTTTTACGGAAGTCATAGCAGAAGAAAAAAGTTCAAGCCGAAAAAAATACAAATTTAGAAAGTTTTCATTTTTTTCGTCTTTCGTATAATTTGCATAGTTTTCTTGATTGAAGTTCTGAAATTAAAGTTTAAGTATGATTTTGTATACTATTTCGCGGCGCATCTTTTAAAAAACGGCTAACATAAGGGTTCTAAAGAAACACGACAAAAATAGAAAATACTAAGAGGGTCATTGTTTATGCCGTACCCGTTATGTTGTTTATGTACAAAAGCGAAAACTACTCACCGTGTCTTTCGCTCACTCCAATATTAAAATACTAAAGAGCTAAGGATGTGTTTTGATGGTACTATTACACTGATGTATTGATTTTAAACGTCGACATAAGCTGTCTTTTCATTTCATATCTATCTTTTTTAATATAATATGAAATGAATAATATGAATGAATAATATGAAATGAAAAGACAGCTTATG